TTTCATTTCATTTATTTGAGACAGAGTCTCGCTCTATTACCCAGGCTGGAGTACAATGGTGTGATCTTGGCTCACTACAACCTCCGCCTCCCGGGTTCAAGCGATTCTCCTGCCACAGTGTCCCGAGTAGCTGGGATTACAGGCACACACCACCACACCTGGCTAATTTTTTATTTTTAGTAGAGATGGGGTTTCACCATGTTGGCCAGGCTGGTCTCAAACTCCTGACCTCAAGTGATCCACCCGCCTCAGCCTCCCAAAGTGCTGGGATTACAGGCGTGAGCCACCACACCCGGCCTCAATAGTGTATGTCTCAGGGAATATGGAGGCTCGAGGAGAAGAGAGATGGGGGAAATGGCTGGTCAATGGAGCAGTCAGAACACACACAACATTAATCAGTAAAGTTCACCCTCTTACGTGAACATGGTTGGTGGTGCCCCCAATTACAATAGTAACACCAGAGATCATTGATCACAGATCATCATAACAGATATAATAATAATGAAAAAGTGTGAAACACTGTGAAAATTACCAAAATGTGACACAGAGACACGAAGTGAGCTCCTGCTGTCAGAAAAATGGTGCCAACAGACTTGTTTGAAACAGGGTTGCTACAAACCTTCAATTTGTAAAAAATGCAATACGTGCGAGGCATAGTAAAGCAAGGTATTCCTGTAGTAAATTGTATAGTATGCTAGACGGTGACAAGTGCCGCAGAGAAAAATCACCCAATACACCATCTCAGGAAGGCCGAGTGAGCCCACAAAGCAAACCATATGCAGAACACACGGGCCATGGCCCCACTTATAAACCCTGTCTCCCATCCTGAGCCAGCAGAACGACCAAGTGCAGTTTCCAGATGAGGAAAACAGACTTATCCAGGGTTGCCAGCAAGGGCTTGGGCCATCATCCCATTTTCTCTTTCTTTCTTTCCTTCTTCTTTCCTTCTTTCTTTCTTTCCTTCGTCCTTTCCTTTTTTTTTTTTTTTTTGAGACGGAGTCTTGCTCTGTCACCCGAGCTAGAGTGCAGTGGCGTGATCTCCGCTCACTGCAAACTCCACCTCCTGGGTTCACGCCATTCTCCTGCCTCAGCCTCCTGAGTAGCTGGGACTACAGGTGCCCGCCACTGCGCCTGGCTACTTTTTTGTATTTTTAGTAGAGACGGGGTTTCACTGTGTTAGCCAGGATGATCTCGATCTCCTGACTTCATGATCCACCCGCCTCAGCCTCCCAAAATGCTGGGATTACAAGCGTGAGCCACCACGCCCAGCCTCCTTTCTTCCTTTCTTTTCTGACAGAGTCTCGCTGTATCGCCAGGCTGGAGTGCAGTGGCGTGATCCCGGCTCACTGCAACCTCCGCGTCCTGGGTTCAAGCCATTCTCCTGCCTCAGCCTCCCAATAACTGGGACTACATGCGCCACCATACCACTAATTTTTGTATTTTTAGTAGAGACAGGGTTTCACCATGTTGGTCAGGATGGTCTCAATTTCCTGCCCTTGTGATCCACCCACCTTGGCCTTCCAAAGTGCTGGGATTATAGGCATGAGCCACTGTGCCTAGCCCACATCGTCCCATTTTCACAGCTGCAAGCCTAACACTGACTATCCGCCAGCCCTGGGAAGGGGCAGTCCTCTCCCGAGCTAACTAGCCCCTCTGCCCTCACTCTGCCTCTTCATGCCTTCCTTCCTGCTTCAGATATCCACTGAGCATCTGCTATGTGCCAGATCCCATGGTGGGCCCCAGGGCCACCTGGGGGATGACAGTCCGGGACAGAAGATTCACCTCCAGCCAAGCAAATGACTCTGAGGCCTCAGGGCCCCTTAGTCACACAGGCCCCTTCCAAGGCCCTAATCTTTTTTTTTTTTTTTTTAAAAACAGAATCTCACTTTGTCACCCAGGCTGGAGTGCAGTGGCACGATCTTGGCTCACTGCAAGCTCCGCCTCCCGGATTCACGCCATTCTCCTGCCTCAACCTCCTGAGTAGCTGAGACTACAGGCGCCCACCACCACGCCTGGCTAACTTTTTGTATTTCTAGTAGAGACGGGGTTTCACTGTATTATCCAGGATGGTCTCGATCTCCAGACCTCATGATCCGCCCGCCTCAGCCTCCCAAAGTGCTGGGATTACAGGCGTGAGCTACTACGCCCGGCCCAAGGCCCTAATCTTGTATTTGTAATTCTGTATTTCTTCTTCCCAAAGGGCCATGCCCCTGTACCTTATAAGTTTCATGGCTCCATAAAACCTAGTCCTGTCCTGGGGGAGATGAACAAACATGTAGACAAATTATAAAGTGTCAAATGGCAGGATGGAACAGAACTAGGTATCATGGCAGAAAATAATGGGGGCATGCATATCTTAGATGGGGAGGAGCAACTGGGGAGTACTTCTTTGAGGTGACAAGCTGAGGCCAGACAAGGAGTGCGTGGAATGACATAGGTGAATGACATGGGTGAAGCATCTCTCTGAGCCTCTGTTTCCCTATGTGTGAGGTGGGGAGGCCAATCACAGCAGGGTGGGCTGAGAGGGGTAAGTGGCAGATCCAGGGTACCCAGTGTGTTCAACCACCCAGTAGGACCAGCAGGCAGCTCAGGCCCCTAGCTGAGCCTGGCACTGCCCTTAATCGGCTTTTGTCCTTCCAGGAGGGACAGGCAGGGCTGGCTACCTCCTCTCTCCCCCCAACAGCTGGGGCTGGCTGTGCCAGGGCCAGACTAGGAGGCGGGAGCTGAGATCACTGGGCCTTTGGCTTCCTGAGTCCTCTCTGGGGAGAGAGGGCAGCCTGGCTGGGTGAGAGGGGACAGTTTGTTCAGGACTGGGGCTGGGACTCCTGAGTCCTAAAGGATGAAGGGGCTGGGGCCCTGGACTCCTGGGTCTGAGGGAGGAGGGGCTGTGGGTGTGAACTCCTGGGTTCTAAGGCAGAGGAGCCTGTAGCAGGACTACCAGTTGAGCTGAGTCTGGGAGCAGGTGGGGGGCAGGGCAGGGAGCTGGGCCCTCTACTCTGTTTACAGCACGTGGTCCTCACTGATCTTTCTGGGTGGGAGGTGGCTTGTGCGGCTACACCCTGGGCAGGCCAGCCCCGCCCCTGGGTTTATAGCCCCAGGCTGCTACTGGCACAAGCCACAGACCAGCAGTCTCAGCCCAGGGGAGCTCGGAAGATGCCTAGGAGGGGTGAGTGTGCAGCCAGCTGAGAGACAGGAATGGCCGCTGCCAGGCCCCAGGACTTAGAAGGGAAAGGAAATACCTTCTTCTAGGGGAATAGGCAAGGTGCTGGGCTTTGGGAGGGAAGTCCCTGGAGCAGATGGTAGCATTCCACCAACGGCAGCTTGTTCAGGACCTGAGTGACAAGGCATCCAAGAAACAGGACGGCCTGAATGCCTGGGAAAGGATCTCAGAGGGAAGATCATTGGGGACCGGGAAGTGTGGTGAATCAGACGTAGTCCAGGGCAAATTTTGAGATGTGGTTTCCAGAGTTCTAGCAGGGAGCCCCACGTAAGTGTGGCTGTGGACTCAGAGAGCTAGATTTACAAAAGCTCTGCCACTTGCAGTGCAGCTTTAACCTCCTCACTTAAAACCTGAGCCTCGGCAGGGCGCGGTGGCTCAAGCCTGTAATCCCAGCACTTTGGGAGGCTGAGGCAGGCAGATCTGAAGTCAGGAGATCAAGACCATCCTGGCTAACATGGTGAAACCCTGCCTCTACTAAAAATACAAAAAATTAGCTGGGCATGGTGGCGGACGCCTGTAGTCCCAGCTACTCAGGAGGTTGAGGCAGGAGAATGGCGTGAACCTGGGAGGCGGAGCTTGCAGTGAGCTGAGATCGCACCACTGCTCTCCAGCCTGGGCAACAGAGCGAGACTCCATCTCAGAAAAAAAAAAACCTGAGCCTCAGTTTCCTCTCCTGTAAAATGGGGATGCTGGCAACAATAGAGATTTGAACCTAGGTGACATGGGTCCCAGAGGGTTAGTGCGCTAAAGCAACAAACACACAGAAAGCTCTCAGCCCGGGACCTGCGCGGATATGCTCAAGGTCGATAACAGCGATGAGTATCGCTGTTCCAGGCAGGGGAGCAGGGCCGGCCATGCAACCCAGGACCTGTGGACAAGCCTGAAGGCCAAGGGACCCCACTGGGGGAGAAGCAAGACTGAGTTTTTGGGATCTCTCAGAGAAACAGGGAGGGAACTGGGATTTGGAGGGGCTTCCACAGCCAGACTTGAAGAACGAGGAATGACTCATCAGTGAAGTCTAGAATTGTGAACTCCCAAGTTCAGGGAGAGCTGCGCTTGGGGACCAGGGTCCGGAGAGATGGGAATGGGAGGACTCGGGCTGAACTCTCCCAAATGTTGTTGGAGGGGAAGGGCCTGTGGGTAGCACTTGGGGCCTAAGAAGGAAAGATGGGATGGAGGACCTGGACTCTGGGGTCCTGAGAGTGGGGACCAACTGGAGGTCTAGACTTCTTGGAATCTAGAAGGAGTCTTGGGCCCCAGGAGAGTTCATGGAAACAGGTGCCTGGACTCTTGGGTCCCTGGAAGGAAGAAAGGACTGGCAGTCTCCTGGATCATAGGAGAGATGAATGAGTTAGGGAAGCAGAGTCATGTGGGCTCAGGGAATGTCTGGATTCCTGGGTCCGAGGGATAGGAGGCCAGGGCAGCAAGTTTCTGAGTCCCAAAGAGGTGACAGCAGGGGCTCCTGGATCCTGAAGAGGAAGGGTCTGGGGCTTGGACTCCTGAGTCTGAGGGAGGAGGAGATGAGGGCCCAAACTACTGGTTCCTGAGGAGGGACAAAGGCACTGGGAACTGGGGCCCCAAACTTCTGATTCCTAGAGACAAGAGGGTGACCTCTTGTGTCAAAAGGAGGAGGAACATGGGGTCCTGGGCTCCTGGAACTGAAAGAAGACAGTGCTGGGGTCTGAAGGAGGAGCAGATAAGCTATGGCCCAGACTCCTGGGCTCCAGCTGAGCAAGGCTTGGTCCAGCCCCACCTAACAGGCCTCCCCACCTACCCACAGCCTCGAAGCTCATCTACAACATGGACCTGCACACAATGACACAGTCGCTGGTGACTCTGGCGGAGGACAACATAGCCTTCTTCTCGAGCCAGGGTCCTGGGGAAACGGCCCAGCGGCTGTCAGGCGTTTTTGCCGGTGTGCGCGAGCAGGCACTGGGGCTGGAGCCGGCCCTGGGCCGCCTGCTGGGTGTGGCACATCTCTTTGACCTGGACCCAGAGACACCCGCCAATGGGTACCGCAGTCTGGTGCACACAGCCCGCTGCTGCGTGGCACACCTCCTGCACAAATCCCGCTATGTGGCCTCCAACCGCCGCAGCATCTTCTTCCGCACCAACCACAACCTGGCCGAGCTGGAGGCTTACCTGGCTGCCCTCACCCAGCTCCGCGCTCTGGTCTACTACGCCCAGCGCCTGCTGGTTACCAATCAGCCGGGGGTGCTCTTCTTTGAGGGCGACGAGGGGCTCACCGCCGACTTCCTCCGGGAGTATGTTACGCTGCATAAGGGATGCTTCTATGGCCGCTGCCTGGGCTTCCAGGTGAGCCCCCTGCCCCGTGCCCCTCTGGGCCCACGATGAAGGCACCTGGTGGTCCCTGGCCTGGCCTATAATATGGTAAAGTAACCACAGTGGTCAGCATTATCGGACTCAGCAAACAGCAGGTACAGAAAGGGGAAGTTGGCTGGAGCTCAGACAGAGCTGCACCAGGGGTCTCAAACTCATGGGCCGTAGGTCATATCTGCTGGGTAGTAAGAAATCCAACGTGCAGAGCTTTTTTCACCAGGATATCCACTACTCTCTATTGTCCTACACACAGGAGATACATTCACTCTGTTACCTGTCTGGCCCCTGAAGTCATTTGAGGTTGAGACCCCTCAGGGAGGAATCTGGAGCCATGTGACCCTGTAGTCTTTCTGGCCCTCTCTGGGCCTCCCCTCACCTCAGCCTACCCCTCCCGCCCCACGTCTCCAGGCTTCCCTGCAGGCTAGCCTCTTCTCAGCAACCCAGCCCAGGTGTTCCTGGAAACCTCCCCTCACCAGGGCTGAACCCACGAGTATTGATCAGCCCAGCTGGGCCAGCCAGCTCCTCCCTGTGTCCCAGCCGTGACCCTAGAGTCATGAGAAAGAGATCCCGGGGCTGCCCGAACCAGCATCCCAGCCATAATAGCCAGGCATTCAGGTGCCCTCTGGCCTACTGGGCACCTGGCCAGGGGCAGGGCCCAGCTCTGCTTTGGTACAGGGCAGTCTCCCCTCTAAAATGTCAGCGTCTGGGAGGGCAGAGGCCTCCCCTGTCTTGGTCACTGGACCAGCCCGGTGTCTAGCATGCAGTAGGGCCTTGGCCAGTGTAGAGTGAACACAAGAATGCACCAGTCCCTTGCCTTGGCCTCCTGTGGCTCCATTTCCTCTGATCCTGTGTCCCCATTATCTTGTTTTTTGGTTTTTGGGGTTTTTTTTTTTGTATTTTGTTTAGTAGGGATGGGGTTTCATCACGTTGGCCAGGCTGGTCTTAAACTCCTGACCTCAAGTGATCCGCCCGCCTAGGCCTCCCAAAGTGCTGGGTTTACAGGCATGAGCCACCACACCCGGCCCCCACCATCTTTCCTTAACTGCCTGTCTGCTCTGTCAGACGCTGTCTCCCCCTTCCCCTGTAGTGGCCAGCTGACCCCATGTCTAGGCCTCAGTCACCCTCTCTGGCTATCTTTCTACCTCAGGTCCCTGTGCCTGGGGGACTGTTTCTGGCCATCTCCCTGTTCCTGTCTTCCAGCTGCCCCCTCTCCCCATCCATCCTCTCTCTGACTTTCAGGAAGTCCCTGCACCATCCTACTCCCCACCTCACAGCCTACCAGTGCACCACCCTGCACTGAGAATGAAATCCAAATTCCTCTGCCCAGGACATGCATGAGCCCCCTTTGCCTCTTCAGTGTCACCACCTGCCCCTCTCCCCACTGCTCACTCTGCTCCAGCCACACTGGCCCCCTGGCTGTCGCTACCCAGGTCAAGCACCAAGCATGAGCTCACCTTTTTTTTTTTTTTTTGAGACGGAGTCTCGCTTTGTTGCCCAGGCTGGAGTGCTGTGGTGTGATCTCCACTCACTGCAACCTTTGCCTCCCTGGCTCAAGCGATTCTCCTGCCTCAGTCTCCTAGGAGCTCACCTTTAAGCCTTCATGCTCTCTGTGCCCTGTGCAGGGAACACCCTCCCCTCGCTTCAGTCAGATCTCTCCTCCGAGACCCGCTAAGTAGCCTGACCCCTAGTCATCGCTCGTGTCCTCTCCACCTACTGCCTTTTTTTTTTTCCAAACCATTCATCATTCCTTGTTGTGATACTGTGCATGGCTTTGCTTATCTGCTGATCATTTGTTTTCCGTTTGAGAACATGAGGTCCATGAACCAGGTGAGAGCTATGCCCAGCACACAGTAGGAGCTCATGAAACATTTACTCAATGAACGTGTCTTCCCCACACATCCCTGCGCCTCGCTCCTGCCCTGTCCCCATCCCTCTCCTGAGCGGTGGGTGACGTAGCCGCGTCTCTCCACAGTTCACACCTGCCATCCGGCCATTCCTGCAGACCATCTCCATTGGGCTGGTGTCCTTCGGAGAGCACTACAAACGCAACGAGACAGGCCTCAGTGAGTCCCAGCCGGGTTCTACTCGCAGCCTTCCCTCCTGGCCCTCCTCCCCACTCCTGCCCAAGTAGCTTGACCCACTGGGGCTCCCTGACACTCCTTCCGAACCCCAGGTGTGGCCGCCAGCTCCCTCTTCACCAGTGGCCGCTTTGCCATCGACCCCGAGCTGCGTGGGGCTGAGTTTGAGCGGATCACACAGAACCTGGACGTGCACTTCTGGAAAGCCTTCTGGAACATCACCGAGATGGAAGTGCTATCGGTGAGGGCCTGTTACAGATGGGGACACTGAGGCCCAGAGACCCATCTGAGGCCACAGTAGGTCTCTGTGGGGCTCCAGGCCCAGGGATGGCACACAAGGGGAAAGACTGGAGATCAGAGGGAGGGGTGAAAGGCACCCCTGCAGGCAGACCCTCCCCAGCACCCCTTCTGTCCCCTCCCTCCAGTCTCTGGCCAACATGGCATCGGCCACCGTGAGAGTAAGCCGCCTGCTCAGCCTGCCACCCGAAGCCTTTGAGATGCCACTGACTGCTGACCCCACACTCACGGTCACCATCTCACCCCCACTGGCCCACACAGGCCCCGGGCCCGTCCTAGTCAGGCTCATCTCCTACGACCTGCGTGAAGGACAGGTAGGGTTCCAGCCTCAGCCAGGGACAGGGACACAGCCGAGAAGCATGGGCAGCCCCCGCCTTGGCATCCCCCGCCTTGGCATCCCCATGGAGGGGTGCAGCCCTGGCCAGCTCTCCCCAACCTCACACACCGCCTCCCTCCTCACCCCCAGGACAGTGAGGAGCTCAGCAGCCTGGTAAAGTCCAACGGCCAACGGAGCCTGGAGCTGTGGCCGCGCCCCCAGCAGGCACCCCGCTCGCGGTCCCTGATAGTGCACTTCCACGGCGGTGGCTTCGTGGCCCAGACCTCCAAATCCCATGAGCCCTACCTCAAGAGCTGGGCCCAGGAGCTGGGCGCCCCCATCATCTCCATCGACTATTCCCTGGCCCCCGAGGCCCCCTTCCCCCGTGCGTTGGAGGAGTGCTTCTTCGCCTACTGCTGGGCCATCAAGCACTGCGCCCTCCTTGGTGAGCCTCAGACTCCCACAGCCACCTGCATCTGCTCCCATCCTGCCCAGCCTGCTTCAAGCTCCTCCAGCCTCAGCCTCACACTTTCTACCTTCCTCACCCCCACACCTCCCAGCTCCTGCTCACCCAGGTCCTGCCCAATCTTCCGCCTCAGCCACTTTATCCTCTGTCCCCGACTGTGGCACCCAGACTCTCCATCTCCTCCACCTCCACTTCCCACCCACAGTCCTGTCTCCTTGGGCCTCTGCCATCCCCCTCTGGTAGCTCCAGGCCCTGCTTTCCTGTCCTCCCGGCCTCCTGGCCCACAGTCCAGCTTCTCTGACCTCCCTCTTTGAAGATCAACATCTTGGGAGGACACTGAGGCACAGAGCAGGGTGTGGCCATGCCCCAGAGCACAGAGCCTGCAGCCCAGGTCCTCTGTGCTGAGCCTGAACCCTGACCTTCCATTCCCATCCTCTGAGGCCCCCCTCCTGCAACAGGCCTGAGCTCGGCTCGCCTTCCCCACCACCTGCCCTCGCTGCTCCCAATCTCCAGCCCCGACAGACTTTCCCAGCACTTCCCTGCGCCTCTCCAGGTCCTGAGTCATCCTGATCCTCTGTCTACCACATGAGCCCAAATCTGTGCCTCAGTCTGCCAGTCTCTGAAACTGCAGTCTGCTAGGCCTTGGAGTGCCCCACACCCTACCTTGGAGAGCCCAGTTCTCCCAGCTTGAGTTCCTCCCTACCCTCCCTCCCCAGTCTCCTGCCCCTGCCAGGCTCTAACCAACCACCCCTCTCCCAAACCAGGCTCAACAGGGGAACGAATCTGCCTTGCGGGGGACAGTGCAGGCGGGAACCTCTGCTTCACCGTGGCTCTTCGGGCAGCAGCCTACGGGGTGCGGGTGCCAGATGGCATCATGGCAGCCTACCCGGCCACAATGCTGCAGCCTGCCGCCTCTCCCTCCCGCCTGCTGAGTCTCATGGACCCCCTGCTGCCCCTCAGCGTGCTCTCCAAGTGTGTCAGTGCCTATGCTGGTGAGGCCCACACCCTCAGCAGGGAAACAGGACTGCATGGATATCTGGGTCCTGCAGGGATGGGCTGGGGACTGGGACTCCTGTGACTGAGGAAGGAGAGGCTAGGCAGAGGAATCTAAGACTCCTTGTCCTTTTTTTTTTTTTTTTTTTTTTTTGAGACGGAGTCTCGCTCTGTCGCCCGGGCTGGAGTGCAGTGGCCGGATCTCAGCTCACTGCAAGCTCCGCCTCCCGGGTTCACGCCATTCTCCTGCCTCAGCCTCCGGAGTAGCTGGCACTACAGGCGCCCGCCACCTCGCTCGGCTAGTTTTTTGTATTTTTTAGTAGAGACGGGGTTTCACCGTGTTAGCCAGGATGGTCTCGATCTCCTGACCTCGTGATCCGCCCGTCTCGGCCTCCCAAAGTGCTGGGATTACAGGCTTGAGCCACCGCGCCTGGCCTTGTGTGTGTGTGTGTGTGTGTGTGTGTGTGTGTGTGTGTGTGTGTGTGAGAGAGAGAGAGAGAGAGAGAGAGAGGGAGAGACAAGGTCTCGTGTCGCTCAGGCTGAGTGCAATGGCTCAAACACACCTCACTGCAGCCTCGACCTCCCAGGCTGAAGCAATCATCCTGCCTCAGCTTCCCAAGTAGCTGGGACTACAGGCGTGCACCACCACGCCCACACCCACGCCCAGCTAATTTTTGTTTTTCGCTATGTTGCCCAGGCTGGTCTTGAACTCCTGGGCTCAAGCTATCCTCTCGCCTTGGCCTCCCAAAGTACTAGGACTATAGCAGTGAGCTACTGCGCCCAGACTCCTTGTCCCTTTTGAAGCAATTGGATATTCTCACGTCCCTGGGGCCACAGATGCCTGAAGTTCTGGGTGTTAAGACTGGGCCCAGAAAGAGGAAAACAACTCAGCTCCCCACATACACTCTGCAGGTGCAAAGACAGAAGACCACTCCAACTCAGACCAGAAAGCCCTAGGCATGATGGGGCTGGTGCGGCGGGACACAGCCCTGCTCCTTCGAGACTTCCGTCTGGGTGCCTCCTCATGGCTCAACTCCTTCCTGGAGTTAAGTGGGCGCAAGTCTCAGAAGATGTCAGAGCCCATAGCAGGTGAGTGATTCACTCCCATCACCTGCCCAGCCAGGGTGGGCAGAAGGGACAGCCTAGCACAGCAAAAGTCCCAGGGAAGATGCTGGGCATGGTGGTTCAGGCCTGCAATCCCAGCACTTTTGGAGGCTGAGGTGGGCAGATCACTTGAGGTCAGGAGTTCGAGACCAGCCTGGTCAACATGACAAAACCCTGTGTCTAGTAAAAATACAAAAAAATTAGCCGGGTGTGGTGGCACACGCCTGTAATCCCAGCACTTTGGGAGGCGAAGGTGGGCAGATCACTTGAGGTCAGGAGTTCAAGACCAGCCTGGCCAACATGGCAAAATCCCTTCTCTACAAAAAAATACAAAAATTAGCAGGGTGTGGTGGTGTACACCTGTAGTCCCAGCTAGCAGGGAGGCTGAAGCCTATGCGAATCGCTTGAACCTGGGTAGCAGAGATTGCAGTGAGCCAAGATTGAGCCTCTATACTCCAGCCTGGGCAACAGAGTGATACCTTGTCTCAAAAAAAATTTTTTTTAAAAGAGCACCCTTACTGGGCTGTGGTGAGGTCTGCCTCCACCCATTTGGGTCAAGTGACCAGCACAATACGTGGCACCCAGTAGGTGCTATTAGAAGATGCCAACACCCCTGGTGTGCCCATTCTGTTCCAGTGACCCTCTGGGCCACAGAGCACTTAAGTAGTTACTCTCACATTGTTTTGCACCTCGCCTTCATGAATTTATAAAGACAAGTAAGGCTGGGTGTGGTGGCTCACGCCTGTAATCCCAACACTTTGGGAAGCCGAGGCCGGCGGATCACTTGAGGTCAGGAGTTCAAGACCAGCTTGGCCAACATAGTGAAACCCCATCTCTATTAAAAATACAAAAATTGGCCAGGCGCAACGGCTCATGCCTGTAATCCCAGCACTTTAGGAGGCTGAGGCGGGCGGATCACAAGGTCAGAAGTTCAAGACCAGCCTGACCAACATGGTGAAACCCCGTCTCTACTAAAAATACAAAAATTAGCCAAGTGTGGTGGCAGGCGCCTGTAATCTCAGCTACTCAGGAGGCTGAGGCAGGAGAATCACGTGAACCCAGAAGGCGAGGTTGCAGTGAGCCGAGATTACACCACTGCGCTCGAGCCTGGGTGACAAAGTGAGACTCTGTCTCAAAAAAAATAAAAGTTAGCTGGGCATGGTGGCACACCTGTAATCCCAGCTGCTCAGGAGGCTGTGACAGGAGAATTGCTTGAACCCAGGAGGCGGAGGTTGCAGTGAGCTGAGATCGCATCACTGCACTCCAGCCTGGGCAACAGAGCAAGACTCCATCTCAAAAAAAAAAAAAAAAAGAAGTAAAAAACTGAAGCTGTAGGGTCTTGGCCCTCGTGGTAGGCAGTGTGGGTCTGATAAAATGAACAGATCTGAGGCCAAGCTGGGCACAACAGGTGGGCTGAAAGTATATCTTTAGCATCATTTGGGCACTTGCTTGCCTAGTCATGTGAAGGGATAAAACTGAAGAACACAAAGGAAATTTGGGGAAGCAGATCCATGTTGGCTACAGGTGCCAGACCCCTAGGAATCGGATACACGCTGGAGACTTGTTAGCTCCCTGTGAACAGAGCCTCCCTTCAAGCCACTGGGCCTGCTCACTATTCAAGTCACTTTGATCCATTTACGCCCTGTGGTAAGTGTAATCCCAGCACTTTGGGAGGCCTGGCCAACATGGCAAAACCCCGTCTCTGCTAACAAAAAAAACCACAAAAATTAGCTGGGCATGGTGGCACATGTCTATGGTCCCAGCTACTCGGGAAGCTGAGGCACGAGAATCACTTGAACCTGGGAGGTGGAGGATGCAGTGAGCTATGTTCTCGCCACTGCCCTCCAGCCTGTGTGACAGAGCGAGACTTTGTCTCAAAAAAAAAAAAAAAAACTGATATACTGTGATTCCCAGTGGGTAGCAGTACCTAATCCCACATCTTAACCCACTTAGTCCTGCCACCTATGAACCAAGGACTATTTTCATTTCCTTGATCTAGAAGAAAAAATAGGTTCCTAGAAGTAAACTGCACCTAACCTTCCCAGTCACACACATACACACACACCCTTCACTAGGACACACAGCCCCACTGCCAAGACCCCCGCCCCCATGACCACCTGGGGCATCTGGAACTCCACCCATCCCCTAGGCGAGAGTCTGGGGAAACAGCCTTTCACAGCCCTCCACAGGTGACTGCCCTTCCCATTGCATTCCCTGCCAGCCACACACTCCCAAACTAACGGAGCCAGGCCTATCTGCTCCCCCTCTCTCAGAGCCGATGCGCCGCAGTGTGTCTGAAGCAGCGCTGGCCCAGCCCCAGGGCCCACTGGGCACGGATTCCCTCAAGAACCTGACCCTGAGGGACTTGAGCCAGAGGGGAAACTCCGAGACGTTGTGGGACACCCCCGAGATGTCGCTGTCAGCTGAGACACTTAGCTCCTCCACACCCTCCGATGTCAACTTCTTATTACCGCCTGAGGATGCAGAGGAAGAGGCTGAGGCCAAAAATAAGCTGAGCCCCATGGACAGAGGCCTGGGCGTCAATGCCGCCTTCCCCGAGGGTTTCCACCCACGACGTTCCAGCCAGGGTGCCACACAGATGCCCCTCTACTCCTCGCCTATAGTCAAGAACCCCTTCATGTCGCCGCTGTTGGCACCCGACAGCATGCTCAAGAGCCTGCCACCTGTGCACATCGTGGTGAGTGCCAGAGGGGGCCGGCACAGGTGCATTTAGAGAGGAGCAGGGCACCCAGGGAGGAGCGGGACCAGGCACAGGTGCACCTGGGAAAGAGAGCTCTGGAGTGGGGAGAAAGGGACAGGCGTGTACCCAGGAGAGAACAATGCCCCGAACAAACGGGAGGAGGACAGGAGTCAGGGCTGCCTCCGTTTTATTTTGCAATTTTGAGTACCAAGAGACAGGAGCAGTGGGGCAGCCCCTTGGGCTTGGAGAATCAAGAGGGAAAAAAGGTGGGTTTGGCAGGGTGGGGAGGGAGAGGCTGGACAGAGGCCAGCGAGCGCAGTTCAAGTCATTCTCCCTTCCTTCCCACCACTCCCCCACTTCCCTCATTCTCTCCCCAACTCCTCACCCACCATGTCTCCTGCCTCCGTCCACCCCTGTCTGTATCCATATTTCCTACTCCCTTTGTTCATCAAACCCCTCCTCGCTCTACCTGACCCCGGTCTGTCGGTCCCCCATCCTCTCTCCACGTCCGTCCTGCTGTCCCGTAGGCGTGCGCGCTGGACCCCATGCTGGACGACTCGGTCATGTTCGCGCGGCGACTGCGCAACCTGGGCCAGCCGGTGACGCTGCGCGTGGTGGAAGACCTGCCACACGGCTTCCTGACCCTGGCGGCGCTGTGCCGCGAGACGCGCCAGGCTGCGGAGCTGTGCGTGGAGCGCATCCGCCTCGTCCTCACTCCGCCCGCCGCGCCCGCGCCCGCGCCCGCCCCACCTCTGGTCTGAGCCGCCCGCCGGATCCGGGCTGCGCGGGGGAGACGGGGGTTGCGGGGGGCGACACTAAAAGCCTGCTGTTCCCATCTGCGCCGGCCTCCGTCATGAATGCGCTCCGGGCCGGGCGGGAGGGGGCGCGGGCTGTGCCTTACTTAAGTCGGGGGTGGCAAGGGGGCGGGGCGGGGGCCCGAAAGCAGAGACCCCCGCCACGGGGAGGGGGACGCGCACACACACCGGTCACCGAGACGGCTGGACCTGCACACCACCGCTACCTTCTGCTGCTGCTGCTGTGACCGCCGCAGGGACGGGGACTGGCCCTCCCTTGCAGGTCGGTTTGTTTGTCTGTCTGTTGTAAATAAAAGTATTTAATTAGTTTGGCCTCTCTCAAATACGGTGGGGTATTTGCCCACCAGGGGGCAGCATCGGACTCAAGCGGCTGGGAACCAAGAAACCTGGAATGAGGAAGAAGTGTGGGGGCCTGGATTCTTGGGACCAGAAGGGAGTGGACTTCCTGTTAACCCAGACCCACCTCCCCTCGGACTTCATCCAGGTACACTGCCAGGAGATGCTGGGTCCTCAGCTCCCCACCTTGAAGATCTTCGGTTAGCTGGACTCACTGTGGTCCCAGGGAGACCAGGCTCAGCATACATCGGGGGAAATAAAAGTTAAAAATTATGTCTTGGGTCTCAAAGGCTCCAGTGACCCAAACACCCTACAGAACTGGAGCAAAGTTAGCAGGAAACCAGAAACAAACTGGCACTCAAAATACTGTAAATGCCGCCAGCCACAGAGGTTCACGCCTGTAATCCCAGCACTTTGAGAGGCAAGACAGGAGGATGACTTGAGTCCAGGAGTTTGAGACCAGCCTGGGCAACATAGACCAGTCTCTACAAAAACATTTAAAAATTAGTCGGGCGTGGTGGCACACCCCTGCAGTCCTAGCTCCTCAGGAGGGTGAGGCAGGAGGATCACTTAAGCCCAGGAGTTCGAGGTTGCAGTGAGCTATGATCGCACCACTGCACTCCAACTTGGGCAAGAGTGAGACCCTTTTTCCAAAAAAACAAAAACTGGAAATGCAAGCTCTGTCCAGCTGTGACAATCAGCTCTTGGACCAACTCTCTGGCCCCTTGTAAGCCCTGAGTTTGGAGTTGAGATGATTTATACCCAGGATGTTCCTTCAAAGGGCTTCTGATCCTGGATTCAGAGAGGGGGGAAGAACAGACACAGGCTGTCACAGTCCCCGGGGTTCCACCTGTAGTAGTCAGGGAGAGCTTCACAGAGGTGGTGATCTGAGCTTGACACTAAAGGATGAACAAAAGTCTGCTAGGAAGAAAAAACATTCCAGGTTGTGAGAGCCAGCTGGCAGTGATCAAAGCTGCCACCTGGCTAGAAAAAGCTTCCACCTGACCAGAAGGTCAGGTGCAAAGTGGGGAGGGGCGTGAAGGGCCTGGAGTGGTCAGCAGGAGCAGGGCCTGAAGAGCCTGGAGCATAATTTGGACTAAACTGGAGGGCAGTGGGGAGCCACCTGAGCGCTTTGAGCAGGAAAGGGCCAGGGTCAGCTCAGGGCACTAAAAGATTCTGCTGGGACACTGGGGGATGGACAGAGAAGGGCAAAACTGGAGTCCTGCAGGCCAAGAAGGAGGCCTGAGCTGGGGCAGGAGCTGTGAGGGTAGGGAGTGGAGGTGGAGCATCCCAGAGCCATAAAAGCTGGGAAGAACAGCACTTACTGATGGGGTTACAGGACAGCAAGGGGACAGAGATGACACCCAGGTCTAGCCATGGGAGCAGGTAGAGTGAAGCTGTCTCTTCAATAGGAGGAGGCCCAGGTGTGTGTGTGACAGGTGAGACCTGCTGAGGGCCATTCTGGACATGATGAGCTGGAAGGTCTCAGGAAGACAATCCAGGAGGCAACAAGGGTCAGAAGTGCAGGCTGGGGCTGGGTGCAGTGGCTCACGCCTGTAATCCCAGCACTTTGGGAGGCCATGGTGGGTGGATCACCTGAGGTCAGGAGTTCAAGACCAGCCCAGCCAACATGGCGAAACGCTGTCTCTACTAAAAATACAAAAATTAGCCGGGGGTGGTGGTACATGCCTATAATCCCAACAAATTGGGAGGCCGAGGCAAGAGAATCGCTTGAACCTGGGAGACAGAGGTTACAGTGGGCTGAGACTGTGCCACTGCACTCCAGCCTGGGTGACAGAATGAGACTGTGTCTCAAAAAAAAAAAAAACACACACACACACAATGCAGTCTAGGTGGAGCCAAGGGACTGGAACCTTTCCAGGAAGCCTGGGCAGGTAGGACAAGCAACAAGAGGGCCAGGACAGAGAGAGCCCTGAGGATCACGCCCCCAGTAAAGGGGTGGGCAAGGGTGGGCAGTGGAAGGCAAGGCTGAAGGGTTCTAAGGAGCAGCCGGAGAGAGAGGAAGCTGCCCAGGAAGGAGGATGTAGGGCGAAGGGAGTTTCAGGGAGTGGACCGGGTCAGATGAGGATTAAAATGTTATCCTCGGCTGGGCGCGGTGGCTCAAGCCTGTAATCCCAGCACTTTGGGAGGCTGAGACGGGCGGATCACGAGGTCAGGAGATCGAGACCATCCTGGCTAACACAGTGAAACCCCGTCTCTACTAAAAAATACAAAAAAATAGCCAGGCGACGTGGCGGGCGCCTGTAGTGCCAGCTACTCGGGAGGCTGAGGCAGGAGAATGGCGTAAACCCGGGAGGCGGAGCTTGCAGTGAGCTGAGATCCAGCCACTGCGCTCCAGCCTGGGCGACAGAGCGAGACTCCGTCTCAAAAAAAAAAAAAAAAAAATGTTATCCTCAGGTCTCAGCAATAAGCAGGTGACCTCGGTGACCTTGTCCAGAGCCACTGCAAGGTCATGGCAGTTGGGCAGCCAGACTTAGTGCGAAAGGGAGCTTGATACAAGGCACGTGTGTTTAGAGATGTTGGACATGTTTGAATGCTGGAGGGGTGGGAGAGACTGAAGCTGCAGAAACAAGAAAGCGGTTTCCTGGGGGGTGGGTGAGAAGCAAGGGATCCTCAGCTCAGAGGTCCTCGTTCACCCAGCAAGTGACTTCTGAGTCAGGGCCTGTGCTGGGGCAGGGAGTTGTAGCCCAGAACTCTTCCTGAAGGTCCAGGTCCACTGGCCTGAGTCACTGCTCCCCTTGTCCAACTCATAGAACCCCTTGCTCACCTCTGTCAAAACAGTCACTACCCATCAACCTGCTCCTCTTTCCTGTCCCCACCTCAGGGATGGCTCCATTGTCCTCCAGGCCAGAGCTCTGGGTCTCATCCTGGACACCCCCTTGTCCCATAGCCCATCAATCCCCACTTTCTGTTCTCTCTGCTTCCGGAATCTCCTTATTTATTTATTTATTTATTTATTTTTCTTCTTTTTTTTTTTTTTTATTTATTTATTTTTTCTTTCTTTTTTTTTTTTTTTTTTGAGACAGAGTCTCGCTCTGTCACCCATGCTGGAGTGCAGTGGCGCAATCTCGGCTCACTGCAAGCTCTACCTCCCGGGTTCACGCCATTCTCCTGCCTCAGCCTCCCGAGTAGCTGGGACTACAGGCGCCTGCCACCACGCCTGGCTAATTTTTTTGTATTTTTAGTAGAGACGGGGTTTCACTGTGTTAGCCAGGATGGTCTCCATCTCCTGACCTCGTGATCCGCCCGCCTCGGCCTCCCAAAGTGCTGGAATTACAGGCGTGAGCCACCGCGCCTGGCCTATTTTTTCTTTTTCTTTTTTTTTTGAGACAGGGTCTCACTGTTGTGCAGGTTGGAGTGCAGTGGCATGATCTTGGCTCACTGCAGCCTCGACTTCCCAGGCTCAAGTGATCCTCCTGCCTAAGCCTCCTCAGTAGCTGGGACCACAGGCACGCACCACCACACCCGGTTTTTTTTGTCTGTTTGTTTGTTTGTTTGAGACAGAGTCTCACTCTGTCACCCAGGCTGGAGTGCAGTGGCACAATCTCAGTTCACTGCTGCAACCTCCGCCTCCCAGGTTCAAGCAATTTTCTGCCTCAGCCTCCCAAGTGGCTGGGATTACAGGTGCCCACCACCACGCCTGGCTAATTTTTTGTATTTTTAGTAAAGAGGGGGTTTCACCATCTTGGCCAGGCTGGTCTTGAACTCCTGACCTCGTGATCTACCCACCTTGGCCTCCCAAAGTACTGGGACTACAGGCATGAGCCACCGTGCCCAGCCACACCCAACTAATTTTTTGTAGAGATGAGGCTGTCACTGTGCTGCCCAGGCTGGTCTTGAACTCCTGGCCTCAAGTGATCCTCCCACCTCAGCCTCCCAAAATGCTGGGATTACAGACATGAGCCATGGCACCCAGTCTTGCCTCCTGAATCTCTATCTTATCCCCTCGGCCTCTTCCCTGATCCAGGCTCCACTCTCTCCTGCCTGAATCCCTGCCAGAGCCACCTCCTGGGCTACTGGCTTCCAGTCTCATTCCTCCAGTTCTGGTCCAACTATGACCTTGTCCTTCGCTATTCTCAACCCTTCCATGGCTCTCCACTACCCCCTCACCCTCAGGACAAACTCCAAGCTCCTCAGCGTGGCCTCTGCCCATCTCTTCAGCCTCCTCCAGCCTTTCAGTTCCCCTGCTGGCCACACAGACTTGACTGGCCTTCTGCTTGGGCACCTGCGCACAGTACTACTCCTGCATGCCTCCCTGTCTTGGGTCACGCTGAAACACCCTCCCCACAACCACTTTGCAAACTGGCACCTCCACTTTGCCTGGCATCTCCTGCTCCTCCAAGATCCAGCTCCAGTGGCCCCTCCCCTGGAAACCCTTTCCCGACCACGCCAAACTCAAAAAAGTCTCTCCTGGGCTCCCCACCGTCTCTGCACACCCATGCCCATCGATGTGCGTCCTCCCATCTGGCCCGGGCTCCTTGAGGGCACGGCCCAGGCCTGACTCATCTTGGTCACGAGCATCGCCCAGCACAAGGCTTGGCACACCAGAAGCCTCAGGAAATGTTTGTCTAAGTAATAGGTGGGAGAATGTGTGAGTGAGTGGCTAGACGAGGGAATCTGTGAGTGAGTGGCTAGACGAGGGAATCTGTGAGTGAGGGAATTAAGGAGGGCAGGAAGGGCTGAACGGATGAGGAGCAGGAAGGCAGGAGCAGACGAGAATCAGGCTTAGGGTGGGAGGAACGGATGAATAACTGAGATCCAGCATCCCGGTCTCAGTTTCTCCAAGAAAGCAAGATGGGTTCGCCGGGACTGAGCTCCCCCCTCCGCCTCGAGCCTCACCAAGCCTCACGGTTTCCCACCCAAGCTATGTCCAGAATCCCAATACCAGGCGTGCTGGAAAGGGCTTACCCGGCCAGACCCGCAGAACCGGTTCCCTCGCGAGCCCGCTCGG